GGCATATATATATACTATCGATGAAATTAATTGATAATGAGATATCTCAATATATTACGGGGAAATAATGGAAATGAATATGTGTCGACACAAACAAATGAATAGCGCTATTGATGAGAATGACTGAAATGAGAATATTGAGAACTATTGGCAGTAAGACCATTGAAATTGGTTGATGATGAAAATGAGTTTAAGAATGAAAGTTGCACAAAAGCATAATATAACATATTATCATAAATACCATCAGTATCTGAAAATATGAATGAATCTATATGATATTCATGAAAGTTATGGAAAAGTTATTATGGTAAATATATGGAATATGCGTTGTACTCTTTTTCCCTTGGCTAAGGTTTTGTCCCATTGGGTTTTCCTAGCAAGGTTTTTAATGAGGCAACAGGGATGGCGTATTCACATGAATAGTGTACTCTTTTTCCTTCATTAGGATTTTGTCCCACTGGGTTTTTCCTAATAAGGTTTTAACGAGGCATATTCATGGTATAATGAGGACTACTGAATTATTGATATGATTCCTCATGATGATACTGGAGTAACTGTACTCTTTTTCCTTCGATCAAGTTTTTTCCCACTGGGTTTTTCTTGACAAGGTTTTAACGAGGCAGCACATGGATACTCCATTAAAGATGATCTATTTGAGGGGGAACAATTTTATGCTTCCACAATGCTCAGGTTTTGTCCCACCGGGTTTTCCTGAGGAAGCAATGTTATAATTTCAAGATGATCAGGTTTTGTCCCACCGGGTTTTCCTGAGGAGAAATGTTGAGATTCCACAATGATCAGGTTTTGTCCCACTGGGTTTTCCTGACATGCTAAAGCAACGGTACCTGATGGCCACAAGATATACTTGAAGATGTGCAAATTGGACTTTGTTCTAATCAGTTAAAATATCTTTAGAAATAGTCATTCAAGGGGGAGTGTTGTAAAATATTTATTATAAAATAATGTATGTGAATGACTATTTTGTCCCTGATGTAATTGTATTATTACGGTTGTGCCATCAGAAGTTTCCTATAAATAGGAGCTTCAGTTATAATGAAAATTGCACATAAGAGAAACATTTTCTCCATTCTCTCTCTTTCTCTCTAGTTTTATAACAAGATTGAGTTTTTTTCCCAATTTTGTTGGCTAAGTGATGGTTAAGTCATGTAAATTAAGTTTAATTATTTATGTCTTATTTATTTTGAGCCATTAGATTGCCTCTTATTTTTTGTAAAATCAAGGGCTATAAATTAACTGTAGGGGCTGCTGTTAGTAAGTCACAGCAGCCCCCCCTTACCCATGTCATCTCCCTTTTTGTGTCGGTCGATTCCTCTTGAAATTTCAATCCTGTGTGCATATTTCCTTGCAAAAGATCTGTTTATTTTTTCTTTTCTTTCCCATTTGGGTCTGATTTTTCCATGGTCGTCTAGGGCGAGCTCTTTGGTGTGAACGGCGAGCGCAATTTCCTTCAGCTCCCGAGCAGGCCAAAAAGATTGAAGCACGACGACCTCGAGGCCATGGATTGGAGGGGAACCGATTTCAATTTCATCATATCCGACTCTGGGCTCTGATGGTTCAGATCCATTTCTGCGGAATTTCGCTCATGGTATCGAAGGAGCTGGCGGCCGCGTGAGGTTTTTGCGAGAGGAAAAATCTCATAATCGTTGGAATCACGCTTCTTTTTAAACGGAATCTTAAGCCTCTTCGCCAGAATCTTGATCCTATATAATTGGTGAGTTATATATCTTTTGGTTTTTGTAAATTTACAACTTAGTCGAAATAATTGGGGTTGATGGTTTAGGGTCTTTCTGGGTTAGAGTATTTTGTTAATACTTTCAAACTTTTTTTTTTTTTTTATCGTTATTCAAAATTTCTTCTTTCATTTTATTAGACGTCTCAAAAAGAGGCTTGTGCACTCCGTGTTTTGGTGGTTTGGATATTATGCCTGTGTTTGAAGAGAATAATTGAGGGTTTTGACGTTTAGGTTCGTTGAATCAACGAGTTTTGGAGCATTTGTCGACCTTGCTGAAGTATTCTGATGCTTAAAACCTGTTCGGCCCCTGATCACTTTGTACTGGCTATCAAAGTTGTGTGTGCCCGTAGTAAGGGAATCGAAGATATCAACCATCGACGGCCTCTGCTCAGCTTAAAACGCACAATTCAGCCGTTTCTGGCCCAGAGAATAAGCCTTTACCGTTGCCGGCGAATTCGGGATTTTGGTTGGCATAACACATGTACTTACAGCAGAGCTGGAACCTCCTGGTGATCAGCGGCGGATTGAATGATGCTGCTCGATTGCATTTGGTACAAAGTACTAAGGTTTAAGTGGGGTGTCTCTCAAAAAATTATACTCAAATTGAAAAAAAAAAATAATCTCTCACGCCATTCAGGTTTAATGTGTTTAAGGACTACTGTTTATTCCATCCGAGTTGATAATAAAGTTTCTGTTTGATTTTTTGGGTTCCTTTTAGAGAGGGTCGGCCATTAGATTATTAATGAAGAAAAGGAAAAGATGGACTGTGAGTGTTTTGATGAGGCCAGTCTTTGGTCGGGCATAAATCTGTATCAAATATTGGATTTTTGAATACGACACAACATAATTTTTTTAAATATGCTATTTATTTATTTTGAATTACTTCTATTTGTGTATGGTATGATTTTTCATTTCTTTTTTTTTTCTCTGGGTTTGAATTGGCAGATTTTCGTTGGACAAAAAAGGGAATTGCTAAAGTTGAAGAAACTTATAGTTCTCACAAAAGAAGGAAAATGTATGACCTTGACTATGTTTTCTCCTCAGAGGTAATTTCCTTCTAATTTTAAAATCCCAATTTTTTGTTTGGTTTGCTATTACGTCAGATTACTAATATTTCGACTTACGTTTCTTGTGAACACATTTTAAAAAAACACCACCAACAGAACAAAAAATATTCAATCATGTATATAATGTTTCATATAGTGTGTGGTGATATGGTGTGTGGCATGTATTATCATCAAGCGTATGTGCACCACTAATAGTTGAAGCTGCCAGCATGATCTTAATTTACCTTTCTTTAACACACAATGAGGTAAGATAAGATCATATGACATTACTTTTAAG